TCTTTTGATCAAGATTGTTTTGGTCCAAAAGGGGTATGAAGTTGGGATTTGACTCTCTCATTGTTGACGAATTTGAACCTTTGCCCTGCACACCTTTTACCACGAAGTAAACCATCAGTAACGCCCAAGTCTTAAGGGCGGTCAAAAATGGGGTGTCTACAGTTGCCACCATAACTTTTTAGAGTGCATGACGTATTTCACATTAGTATGCTTCAAAAGTATGAGCCAGATCCATCGCACATGTTGGATTGGACCGACTTGGAGGTAGATGAGGATGCCTCACATGAGGAGAGACCGGTGAGAGTTTTAGATAGACGAGATCAAGTCTTGCGAGGCAAGACAATTCCCTTAGTAAAAGTATTGTGAAAACATCACGGGGTCGAGGAAGCTACTTGGGAGCGTGAATTGGAAGTTCGAGAGAAATATCTGGACTTATTTGTCGCTGTTTGAATATATATTGAGATTTTGATTATGCTAATGAAATGTAAAAACATTATATATGTTTTAAAACACGAGAACATTGTATATATTATGGGGTGTTTTGGAAACATAGATTCAATATAAGCATTGCATATATTTTGAGAATATGGAATATAGTGTGCGTTGTATCACTTTTGGAAGCACTGTGCATGTGTAAATTTTGAAAACTTGAATTTTGCTTTAAACATTGTAAATGTTTTGAGAAAATTGTAAATTACACTTTCAATATTGGAACTTGTGTATCGAGTTGATGAGAATAGATGACCGGAAAGTGGGTCATGGTGTTAAGCTTGTTAGATTAACATTGTTATGAATGATTTAATAATGATTTTGAACTTGATTTGTAATTTCGAGGACAAAATTCCTTAAGGGGGAGGTTATAGCGATTCCGGTTTTGGCCCGACACTTGTTGTATTCCGAGCTCGGGCTTATGATTTCTGAATGTTGTTCATTATCGTTTTTCCCCTTATTTTTATTTGAGTTTGGCTATTTGGTTGTATCGAGCGTGTTTGGGACAAGTTGGTTGCTTAGTTTGCAAACCTTGTATTGCCCAGATTTTGGTCCTCTGCTTGAGCGACACTTCTTGTGCTCGAGCAGACTTTGCGAACTCTCAGTATTTTGTAGGTCTGCAAAACTAGTGGGAGAGTGTTTTCAACGCTTGAGCGAGTGGGCGTTTGAGCGTTGGTCTGTTGTTTGTAAAACTACTGGATGTGTGTTTTCAACACTTGGGCGTCATTTCTTACGCTCGAGCGGTGAGCGTCTTTTTCATTGTGTCTTGGCGCTCAAATGGAACAACTTATTGTGTTTGACGCTCGAGTATCACTTCTTGCATACGAGCGGACTATGCATATATCAGATCGCAAAAATGACTTTTCACATCACTTTTTCATCTCTTTCTCTCTAAAACTCTCCAAAACCCTAGATCTTGAGTTTCTCTCTTTCAAAAACTCATCTTCTCTCTACTGTTTCACCTAGATCCATTGGGTTCTTTACCCTAGTGCCTTTGAAAAAAAGGTAGAGCATGTCTTGCGCTCTATTTTCATCCGAACAAAGGTGAGTTTCGATATCTTTGTAGTTTTGACCTTGCTTTGCTCGTCTTCTTTTCTTGAGGTAGGGATTTTCTACACTTTCATATGATTTTTAGCTTAATTATTCGTTGTTGTGTAACAATGGTGTGAGTTAAGAGTATTTTGGACAAACCTAAGGTTTGGGTTTAAAAGTCAAAAAAGGGATTTATAAGTAAATGTGGTATAAATAGTTATGAGGTTTGAATATGAAGTTATCTTGTGTTAAAATAGTTGATTTTGGCCTTTGGGTCGATATTTGAGAAAAAAAAAGTTAGCCCTAAAATAGTTCAAATATTTATTTTATATAAATAAATGGAATTGGTGTTGTAAAGATGAATTGGATGAATATTAAAATAAACGGTGGAGTTGGAAATATCTATCACCTTACACCTATGGAAATTGAATAAATTATCTGTCTTGAGATTGAATATCTGTTTAGAAATATCTGTATTGAGCTATCGATGGAAGATAGCTATGATTGTTGTAGAAATTGCATGAGGATTAGGTAACTTGAAACTAATCTCTTTTTGGTTGTCATTGAATATGACTATATTTAAATGCATTGTATATGCATGATATTTGGGAGAAGAAAGGGGATGTACTCCATGTTTTGGGAGGAGATAGAGGATGGACTCCTTTGAAATTAAGTTGGCCAAAGTGTCTAGGGTGAAAGTCCCGAAATCGCTCGTATACATTATAGCGATTTCGGTTTTAACCCGTCACTTGATGTATTCCGACTCGGGCATATGGTTTCTGAATGTTGTTCATTGTCATTCACTCTTTATTCCCCTTAAATTTGGTTATTTAGGCCGAGTGTGTTTGAAACAGGTTGGCTGGTGTTGCCCAAAATTTTTGGTCTTCCGCTCGAGCGGGGTTTGCAAATGCTCAATACTTTGCACGTCTGCAAAGTACTGGAGTGTTTTTCACGCTCGAGTAGCGTTTCCTACACTCGAGCGGGTGGCGCTCGAGCGGCCTTTCTTGCGCTCGAGCGGTTTGTCTGTTGTCTGCAAAGTACTGGAGGTGTGCATTCTGGGCTCAAGCATGACTTCTTACACTCGAGTGGAACAAATTTTTGTGTCTGGCGCTCGAGCGTCAACTTTTCCGCTTGAGCGGACTATGCATATATCAGATCGCGAAAGTGACATTTTATCACTTTTTCATCCTTTTCTCTCTCTAAAACTTTCCAAAAACCTAAATCTACACATTCTCTCTCTACATTTTGACCTTGATCTAGTGGGTTCCTACCCTAGTGCCTTTGTTAAAGAGTTGGAGCATCTCAAGGGCTACCATTACATCCGAATAGAGTTTGGTTCCGACATCTTTAAAGTTTCTCCACTTCTCCTTTGGGCTTCTACACTTGAGGTAGGGATAGTTATTTGTTGTTATGTATAAATGGTGAGATTTGGAATGCTTGGAGAAAATCTAGTGTTTGGGTTCAAGTTTAGAAAGAAGGGTTTCTATGGCGTGTTATATATTTGATTATGGGGTTTGGTTATGAGGTGATCTTGTGTTAAAATAGTTGATTTTGACCTTTGAATTAATATTTGGAAAATGGAGAGTTTTGCCCTAAAATGTGTAGAATAATTATTTTGTATAAATAACGGAATTGGTATAAGAAATGTGAAATTAGGAAGATATATGAATGAATGGTGTGGTTGGATTTGTTTAATCACTCACCTATGGAAATTTGATCAGTTATCTGTTATAAAGATTGTATATCTGTTAGAAATACCTGTATTGGGCTATAGGTGAAGGATAACTATGATTGTTGTAGAAATTGCATGAGAATTAGGTAAATTGGAACTAATCATTTAACTATATCATTGAATATGGCAGTATGTTAAAGCATTGAACATGTATAATTGATAGTCATTGAATATGGCGGTATTCTTAAATATATTGTATATGTATAATGTTTTGGGAGGAGAATTTGAGAGGAGAAATAGGATGTACTCTATGTTTTGGGAGGAGATAGGGGATGGACTCCATTGAAATTAAGTTGGCCGGAGTGTCCAGGGTAAAAGTCTTGAAATCTTGTGCATACATAGGTGCCGATCCCGCGGACGAAATTTTCGTAAAATGGCAAAGTTGAAGTGCTGGTGTGGCAGTTATGTTAATTGAGAACCACTGAGTAGTAGTCTCAGCTGGGTTATTTGGAAAATTATAAACTTGACCTATGAATTGAAATGAAATGTTCTAACTTGAAATGAATATATGGGTATGGATTGGGATGTGAGTATCTGCATGGTCATGTGAAGAATGTGTGTTAGTCATAAATACTAAATATATATATCTGATACTTGTATCTTAGTTAAATCTCATATATTGTGATAGACTATTTCTACTGGGTTTTGGCTCACCCTACTTGGGAAACCATTTTCAGATACCGGTGACATGCTTCCTTCAAGGACGTAGCTTGGGAGGACCTAGGAGCTGCAGGCTCTATTTTGTTGTTTAAAAGTTTAAATGTTTACTCAAGCCAAGAGCTTTACATGTACAGAACTTATGACTCTCTTTTGTTGTAACCAAGCCAAGACTTGAAAAGGTGAAAGCCTAAAAGGGCATTTATTTATATTGAACTCTTTTGTACTATTAAGTTTATGAGATGAAAGGACTTAACACTCCGATTTGTCCAGTTGTTATATAATGTTTTGGGTTGTATTTATCGTATTATTTTGGAGGTGTTACATACTTGGGTGTCGATTCCCGCGAACGAAATTTTCGTAAAATGGTAGCTTGAAGTGTTTATGTGATAGTTGTGTTGATTTGAGAACCACGGAGTTGTAATTTCATTTGGGTTGTCCGGAAGAATATAAGAATTGACTCGTGAATTGAGATGAAATGAATTGACTTGAAATGAATTAAAGGAAAATGGATGGAAATATAAAATTTGGTACCTTATGATCATGTGGAATATGAATGTTTTGGCATAGGCATTATATATGCATATTATACTTATATCTTTGTTAAAATTCATATATTGTGTTAGACTGTTTCTACTGGACTTTGGCTCACCCTATTTGGGAAAACCATTTTCAGGTGTTGGCGATATGCCTCCGCCAAGGGACTAGCTTAGAGGGACTTTTGGGAGCAAGAGCTTTTTTCTTTTGTTGTATTCTTTTTGTATAGCCAAGGACTTTAACTGTATTGAGTTAGGCTCACTTTTGTTGTAACCAAGCAACGGCTTGCAAAGATGTAAGCCTATATGACATTTGATTATCTGTTTAGTTTTTAGTTCTTTTATCATTGCAACACATGTTGTAAATTCAGGATGAACAGTTTGTGAATGTATATCGCATGTATTATCTTTTGTATATAGACTCTGATGAATGAAAGTAAATTATTTCTATCATTTTTCCGCTTATGAATTGAATTTATTGTATTATTTTTGGAGGCGTTACATTAAATGCAAAGAAGATGAGCAAGAATGGTGATCCATATAAATGACTGTACCCTGACACACAGGTCCGGGTCCTGAAGCAATTTGATCAAAGCACAATATACCGATCTTCTGGTGTCATCTTTAATCTGCAAAAAAAATGAGCATAAATAAATGAAATAAAAAATAAATAAAAAAATTGCCTTACAGAAACTAAAACATGTTGGCCGAAACTGCCGCATGTGATAGAACAAGGTGGCATCGTAAGCTAACATTGCATACAATTATCAGAAAACTTAGCCTTATTATTTCATGCTAAACTGCAATGATTGCATTGACTCTTGTAAGGGTCTTAAAAAAAAAGTGCACCTGCACTTCTGAAAACCCATTAAAGAAAATTATTTCAACATTTACTTGTGTAATTTCTCAATTTCAAGGATATAGTATCTTCCACAAAACAGACCCAAAAATATACTAGTATGCGGTCTTGTTTGAATACACAGATTGGAACAACATACAAGAGATTCAACAGCTTGAAACTCAATCAACAATTACAGCATTGCATACATACCTCAGAAACCCATTGCCCAAGAATTAATGCAACTTTCCTATGGATGATACGCATATTTGGATGATCATTTGTGAGTTCTAGGGATAGCGCACCATTGAACCTACAAAGTTTCCAGTAAATAAGCATAAACCAACAAATTACCATGGAAAAAATTAATAACAAAAAGGGGAGATTTAGTTAAGCATTCACTACAACATAAGCATGTAATGCAAACATCTCAACCCTAGGGCAGAAGCCATTGCAACAAATTGGTAACTTTATTCTATCAAGAAAATTAAGTTTATGAAGGTTATGTGCACAATCTTGTACATCACATGCTGGGTTGCACCCAGTAGCCCATGTCAAATCAAAGCAAACACAAAGTACGTAATGCTACCTCAACCCAATTTGATATGTTTTAGACTACCATACATAGACTCAAAAGCTAACCTTGCTAAGATATAAATATTTTAGGTTAAAGAAGGAATTTCATCAATCCTCATCTTTGTGGGTAGATTTTATAGGAGAGTTACACTTTGGAGAGGGTTTAAAGTGTTGTATTTTTGTAATTACCTCCCCTATTTTAATTTTGTTCATGTCCAGGAGTTACACCCCCTTGGTGTCCTTTTAATTCAAATTGGAGTGAAGTAAGGTGATTCCAAAGTCAATGTTTGTGTCATGTAAAATTAGAAAACTCTGGCTCAATAGAAAATTGACAATATTTTAACACTCAGACAGGTTTGAGGCACAATAAATATGAATATAATTTCCAACAGATGCAAAGGATGTAGATAATTTACACTTAAAACCATGAAAACAAAATCCTAGATGAGGCCCTAATTTAAAGTTGTTTGAGAATTGTGGAAAATAGAGCATATGCAGCTTAAATAACCAAAAATAAAAATAACTAAATTTGCCAATTACAAGTTGTTCTTGCAAGTCATAACCATTTAAATGCCAAGCAAGAGGCAATTACCGAGCTGCATTAGACAAACAAATGCATAAGAACCGGCTATGGAAACACAGAAAAGCACACACCATTCTTTGAAGCTCAGATAATTTGACAGCTCGTAATAAACATACGCAGCAGCACCATAAGCAGCATCTTTGAGAAGTAATCCTGGAGTGATTTCAGTGACTGAAGTCGGGCAACCATTCATTGCCTCTTGAAGAATGGAAACCACAACTGGACCTAGCAGCTGAAGGAAACAATGAAAATCAAATAGGCATACCTTTTTCTATCCAACACATCTTGTGCGTTTATTTCAACTGCTGAAAATTGTGGAAGAGTTTAATACCAAGAATGGACTACACCTACCTGACTATGATTTTCAAACAAAACAATATATAGAGCTTCAGCACAAGGTCTCAGTTTTTCTGACCACAGAACTGAATCCTGCTCGTGGTGAAAAGACTCAGGGTTCTGGTACCACACCTCCAAGTCAGTTGCTGTTAAAACAAAATACCTGTTCCAGCATAGATAATAATGTAAGCTTAGAAATTTGATGACACCACAAAACAAGAGGGGCGCTTTAATTTTTGTCCACAATGACAACACCACCCACCCACCCACAATCGTGGTTTTACAATTCTGCAAAAAAATTTAGGAGATTGCATAGTCAAATTGGACACCTGAATTGGAACTAATGCATGGTTCAGATAAATAAGTTTGGTTATAGTTCAGAAATTCACCAAAGTCAGAAATATTTACATGCAACAACAAGTCTAATTATTTTCAATAAATTCAATTCAATTATCAAAGCTAACCCATGGACCCCATACCAAACTAAGTTTGTTGCAGTTCAGATTTATTGAATTTATCCAATACAATGGGTTACTCATATTTGGTTGCACTTTTCTTTTTTGGATATTTCAGATTTGGATCGAAATTGCAAACCATTTGGAAAATCACAACTTCGAAGCCATTGATCAAGAGGAAGCAATTCTAGAAGTCCAATCTTTTGCCTCAACCATACTATGTTAAATGGGATAGTTAAAATACCTTGCAGTAGGGGAGAACTCCACAAATCACACATAAAAACATGCTCATGAAAAAAGAGAGTAAACTTTCATGCAGTCACATGGAAAGGACTTAGAAAAGATCTTCTAATAATGGGCTATTGATTGGCACAACGGCAAAAGCACGGGGAAACCAAGAATGTGGATTTGAATACGAGGTGGCCACCAATGGCAAATGATGCCAGAGGTTAAGTTTATGCACAATCTAACTCTCTCACCCAATAGAGGCAAGAGCAACAACAGGTTCCTTTTAAGATTCAAATTAAATTAACAAAGACAGAACCACTTATAATTGCATGCTTAGATGCACTTGGTACATCTTACTAATGTCTACATTAATATACACATTGCTAGATAAGCCACGAGCAAACTAATAAACAAGAAAAGATGAGTTCATCATTACCTTCTTATCAACACATTACACAAGAGTACGACCCGGTCACTGGGCAAAAGAGAAGTAACAACACCAGCAGCAACACTAGAAACATTTTTCTTCATCTGCTCAAGTGTAACCCCATTTTCATCCATCACACGACCAGTCAAACTTGGTTTGTATTCTTTACATTCCAGTACAGATTTCACCAATTTCATGCATTGAATGAGGAATTGCTCAAATGACATTACATCTGGTTCAGGATCTGTGATCTTATTCAAACAGAAGTCCATAACAGGTGGAAGGACACTTTTATCACCAAAGGAATAAGGATGTCTGCTCTGAACTGCAACTAAAACCTTCACCAATTTAGTGCATGCCCTCTTTAAGAAATCCCAAAATTTAGGATGCTGTTCCCGGAAAGATGAATCTGCAATTTAAGATATTGCAAGTTTCATCAAGATATTTTGTAGCAACCTTTCCCTCATAATTGACACTTAAAAGTCATATAATGGGTTTTGAAGTCCTTAAAGATGATATGTTCACTTTTAAATCATAAAAACTAAGCCAAACTTTTCCTAACTATGATTTATCCAAAAAAAAAAAAACTTGTCCTACACTTCTAAGAAGGTGCCGTGATCGTGTCATGTATCGATCACCAAACACTCCCTGACATGTATCGGACATGTGTCCAAACATGTCCTGTTATTGGTCAAATGTTTTTAGAATATGACACACTTTGGACACTTGGGGGACGCAAGTCTACTGCTTAAACACATGTGAAACACATTCCAAGTTTAAAAGGATAAAAAAACGTGGATTTCAATGGTAAGAGAAAAACAACCTAGCTTTTAGGAATTCTAAAGCCAAAAACTTACAATTTTTATTCATGAATCATTTTTCGTCATTTCGCTCTGTCAATGGTTATATGCTCAATAAAATTAAATAAATTTATATTATTTGTTATTGCATCCCATGTCAATTTAGGTCTTCAGTAAAACATTTCTATTAATTCAATCTGGGCTTATATTAATTCTAAAGACATGAGAGTTAACGTGACAAAAAGGAAGGGGACACAGCCATATATTATGAAAAATACTTCAGAAAGTTTTATTGCCCTATTTGTTGAATTAAGAATGTGAAAACCAAATTCAAATAATGACCATACATTGTTGACAAATGAAGGTTGGATGTTTTGACTAAAACAATGAGAAAGAGACTGCAGGAACAAAATCCAGAAACATGGGAACACAAAAACAGGAAAGAAATCTCACAGTATGGAAGAAATGACTGAATGGCATTCAAAAGAGCAGGAGAGACCTCCTTGACTGGCCGCACCTCCTTGAAACAAAATAAATTGTCCATATCAAGAAGCGATTCATCAAGCTTCATGGGTGCAAGAAACTCTAAATCCCAATAATATAGAATACAACGATAACAAAGAGTACCTGTATCGATTTTGCATCACTAGGAAACCCAGAAATTATCAATTGCCTTATTATCTTTACACATAGAAGCCATCTTTCGCATGTAAGGTAAAGATCATCATGTCGCAGGTCCGAAGCATTTGAACTCAAGTTTTGAGAGAATAGGGAGAAACCATGCAATATGGTTTGCAAATCACTCTGCCAAAGGTGCCAACTGTAATCGAAGAAATGAGATGATATCTGCCAAAAGAACATTCATTAAAGACTTGCATAAAAAGACAGCATTGTAAACTTGCTTCTCTGCATGTCTAGCATGGATATCTTGCTAGATCATCCAGCTCCTAACAAATGCAGGGATGCCACAAACCTCTGTTAACTAAGGATGTACAGGAATGTTGTGTCCTACAATATGGGATTGGTACTTGATGTACTGTTGCATGATATCTAAAGAACAAAGTTGGTTCTGTTTCTGTTGAACATTAGATTTTGGATTGCGATCATTAGATTTTGAAAACATGGTCAAACAGAAGTTTAACCACTCTATTAGATGGTCTGTAGGAACTATTTATATTATTTTGTACCAGTAATAAAAATAACAAGATGAAGTTCTACCACTCTATACAGAATTCTACATGTAAGGATTTGTTTGGTAAGAATATCTGTAGAACACCTCCCAAAAAATACATATGAAAAGAAGTAAAAATAGAAAAATAAATTAAACAAAATGGTGCAATGGCCTATACCTCTGCAAAGTTCTTTTGGTCAGAAGCAAGACGTTTGGTAGACAACTCCTTCAAAGTTCGAAAGAGAATCATAAAAATCCTGTGGGAAGTAAGAATATCTGCTGACGGAAGCTGTTGTGCTAAAACAGAAAAGAGCTCTGGCCTGAACAAGTCCTCAAGTTGGTGGATCAGAATGCATAACCAAAATAACTTAAAAGAACATTATGCTTGGGAAATGACAAGGAAAGAAACCAAACAAAAGTATGATAAAATAAAATCATATATAACAAGAATGAATAAGACCCAAGATAAGGGGACAAAACTTTATTGTAAATTCTCATGCTCAACATAAAATTAAAAAATAAATACTCAAAAGAGAAAGTTGAGTCTTTTGAATCCCAAAACCAGATGGGGAACTCAAACTTAACTCCTCAAGTTAATGTAGTACTGAAAGTATAGAAAAAAAAATTCTGACAATAACATCAGTTACTCCACAAGAACATAATTGATCAATAAATACTCAATCTCATATTTCCCATCTACAATATATGAATGCCATCTCAATTCCACAAACGTGATATTAGGTTCTGTCAAATAATAGGCCATGAGATTTTTTTCACTACCTTGGATGACATCCACTTTACACTCTTCCATGAGAACCATGATACTCTCTTTTATAAATTAAATGCAATGGTTTGTTTCTACATATTCATAAGTACACATTAACCATTGCATTTGATTTGGTTACATACAACGAAGACTTGTAAATGCAACGGTAAGAAGAGTGATATGATCACCATAAAAATAAATATTAGCAAGAGGGGAAGGCTTAAACCGACATTGGATGCAGTAGTAACAAAATATATGAGTTTATTTCATTTAACTAAACATATAGTCCTTGACAGAGCACAATGACGACCTAGTTGATTAGGACACAAGGTTTAGTTTGGTTAGTGTCTACATGATGATAGGAAATCGTGTCCTGACCAAGTACAGCAACTGAACAACATGCATAAAAAGGCTAGTAAGGAAAGATTAGTCAAACTCACCAGTGTTAATTCCAAACCAATGTTCTTAATTAGAATATGGCACGGTATAGAACCTTCAAAATGCAAGTTTTCTCACAACAAAATTACACTTCAATAAATTGATTCTTACCCTTTTGAACACAATCATGGATTTTCTATTTTATTTGGGATTTCAGAGAATGAAGTCAATCAAATTAGTGAGGAAAGTACCATATGCACTTAACTTTTCTTTTTTCTAAATTGAGAGTATAGATGAAGAAAGTAAGGAGTGAAAAAAGTGTACCATTCTTTGGGATAATCAATTCGAGCAATTTTTGAGATGAGCACAGCCAATGTAAGCGCAATCTGTATTAAAAAAGAAGTGCAAAACACAGGAAATAAGCCAATCTAACTTCTAGACTTAAGTTGTTTGATGAAGCCTCTCCTCCTAAATGAAAGATAACGAGAATTCAATTCATCCCCCACTTATTTTATCAGATGCTAAGTCATACTTGTTGCCAGAAGCCAACAAATACTAATATTATTTATAAATAGCCTGTCAACCGTGAGTAGGGGAAGAACAATGAAACTTTCCATAAATCTAAGTTAGGCATCACCTGATAATTCTCCTCTCTCAAGTGGGACAACAGTTTTTGTCTCAAATGTTTTTTCTCCTCATTGCCAATTCCCCTGCACGTGAATTTTACAGTAGAATGTCACCAAGAAACACAACGATGTTTGGATGCCACTAATATAGATAATAATAATAATAATAAATAAATAAAGGCCAAAAAAGAACATTGCGGATATCATACGTAAGACCGAAAATTTGAAGAAAGACCCCATGCCACAAGCAGAGAATACAGTTAAAAATGAGAAAAAGAAGATGCAATTAATATATATACCAATTGTATGGGGCCAAAAGGGATCTGTTAGGCATCAACATGTAATGTGGTTATAATGAAACTAAAATTATACAGATTCATTACGTTATTACCGATGTCACCAAATCATTTCATCAAATCCTTTGTCTCATTAATAGCAGCCCAACGACAGACAACACCACCCACCTTGATTTGTAAAAATCAAGCACGTGGACCCTAATCTACCAACTGCAAGTTAATAAGGCCTATGTTGGAAGCATATTTTTAGACTACCTTTTAGCTTGGTAAAAGCAGCTTCTATGCAGTGTTACGTGAACTCTTCTCTTCCACCAAGAGTACGCGTGTACACCAGATATGATAAGAATAAAGATATGGTATACGTGTTCAACCCCAATACCTAATTAGACACTTGGATGCCCTAAATCACAATATTAAAGGAAATTTTTAGCTTCTCATGTGGATGGGAGGTAAAAATCCTCTTTTCCCCCTAAATTCTATTTAATTTCAAGTACATTTATGTTAAATAATAATTTTTCTATTTTAATATCTACGTGCCTGTCTTCATGAACTCAATAATTTTTCTGGGCAACATTATGTGTTACATAATATAATTCTTCCAAACTGAGGCCATTCAAAGAGGGAAATCTCAAACCCGAAGGGGCCACAGCCAACCTTCACCCTACCTCAGTTCGCCACTGACTGTCCTAAAGATAATTATAGAAATACATTTAGCAAGCTTATAGACTCATGCATTTACCAATATACTACTAAGCTGCAATAAATCTACACACAGAATCCATTACCTCGGATCGCCACCGCGTGTCCTAAAGATAATTATAGAACATACATTTAAAAAGTTTATAAACTCGTATGCATTTACCAATATACTACTAAACTGCAATAAATCTATATACAGAATCCATTACAGGCAACAAATAGACATTCAAGCTAACGTGAAGAACATCTTACGAAGAATCACGGCGGTTCCTCCAATACCGATTGATGCTATTTTTGAAATACAACGAAGCCATTAAGCGAACATCAACCTGTGATGCTAAATCCTTTGCAGTTATCACTTCCTGCATCATCCAAAAAAAAAACAAAAAGAAGCTTCATTACATAAACACAAATTCACATTACAGCATTGCATTCTCTTTGCATGCTAAAATCCTAGAAACAAAACAGAATTGGAAAAGATTACCATGAGACAAGAGCAGAAACCAGGTCTGCTCTCGGACTGTGCGAGAGCCGCTTCGGCTGGTTTGCGCAATCTCTCGTCGCCGCTCAGCGAATTGGCGAGCAAATTGTACATCGCCGGTAGGTCAGAAGCCGAAAGAGCCATCGCGAATTGCAAGCTCAGAGTGAATCGATTTCTGCATGTGAAAACAAAAAGAGAGAATCAGAGTGGTAGATCGGTGAGCTTGAGACCTAGGTTTTGGGGGATTTTGAGATTGAAAATGAGGATTGTGATGGTTGATTTACAGATTTGGAATAGAGAGATGTTTTTAGTGTTTGTTGTCTCCGGCGAAGAAGCTTTCAGAATTTGCTATAAGTTGATTACAGAGTGATGAAGCCGTGAAAAGGCCGAAAACCTTGAGACAGCTTCAGAGAATGGTATACGGAGCTTCGGTGCTCCTTTGCTTATATACCTCTCTGGTCCAGCACTGGGCTATTTTCATGTTTCCATTTTTTTATTTTACTTTTTTAATTCACAAATTTGCAAAATATTATTGATTTATTCACACAATTTTTTACGCACGAATATGTCCGAATAAGACTTTCTCAATTGTGTGGTTGTAATAGTCCCGTTTTCAAAATATTTGGCCTGTTTGGTTTGTTTTGTAAGATTTAATAATACATGTAATTATAATAATAATGTGGAATTAAACTTAACAGGATTTTGAATTCAATACAATTTAAGAATAAAGTGAACATACCTTTGTCAGCCATTGAATTAGAGAAGTTGAGAAAATACCCCTAATAGTTGAATATTTAATTTTTGGCTCACCTTCTTCTCTCTGTCTCTCTTAATTAGGATGACTATAAAACTTAGGCCAAGTTTGGGGACTTTAAAAAAAGTCAAAAAGCCAAAAAGTTACTTAAAAAGTTAAAAAGTTAACACTATTCACC